CAACACCACGCCATACTTGGTGGCAAAGTCCTTGTGAAGTTGTTGCATTGTCGATTCGGGGAGTGTCTCATCAACCGCCTCTGGCTGTTTTGCTTCTGCAGCGGCTGCACGAATGGCCTCCAGGCCAGCTGCATGGGCTGCTTTAAGCCGCGCCCGCAACAACCTGTTGTCCTTCATCTTGGTGGGCTGGAGTACCTGATCCAATGATGTTTCCATGGAAGACTCATTGAAGTAGTAGACAAAATCTTCCAAGGTTTCCCACTTGTGGATGTGGACTAACTCACTCTTCCACTCCTCCAGGATGTTGGCCCCAGCGAAGCAGGTTGTCAATCCACGGTCATCCTGATATGTATCAATGCGCCTTGAACTGCTCATGGTCGTAGGGGCACCACAAACGAAAGCTTGAGTGAACTAGCTACGATCCCTGTGAGCCCGGAGCTGGGTTGCAACAAAGCAAACTCCCCGGGGGAGGTCGCAGACCTACCACCCTGTCCGTCCGAACGAATGACCACGCCCCGACGCCCTCCCCATTCCGGTGGCATCCGCGGCGAGGCCAAACCAGGTCACAGACCGAAGGTGCCCCCCTTCAAGCCAACCCCCAGGGGGGAAAGGAAAAGGGGGTAGGGGACCCAACCGAAACGACCGACTGGGAACAAACGACGTCGGAACGGTCGGTGACCAAGTCAAAACCGAACCCCACCTAGACGCACGTCGACCCCGACCCAGCACCCCCACAGGGCTCTGGCCCCTCGGCTTTTTATACACTCAGTGCAACCATCCGCACTGGTCAGCCAGGGAGGCATAGAGGCCTCGTGGCATGCGTGCCAGGCATCGCTGGCAAAACTGGCTCCGAACAACCAATCCGAAGCCCTCGCCCTGGCTCTTGGGGTCTTGGGCGAAAGGTGAATCCCGGCAATACGGCAGCTGGCGCTCATCGACCACGCCACTGACAATGTGAACTCGACGGCTTTGGGCGAACCACTTGGCTTCTGTGATAGCCGCCTCCTCTGCCAGGACACCCTCCAAGTCGCTGCCCATAGCCGAACAGTCCGACGCGGACGAGGAGGTAGTAGACGAAGAAACCGACTGGGCCGTCGGATCAGCTTCCACCACCGGGGGTGTGACATTGTCTACCTCCTCAGTCTTAACCTCGTCTGCTGGGCCTGCCACAGGCAAGGCACTCCCCGAGGCTTCCAAGGGCGGTGTCTCTGATGGGGGCTGGACCTCAGGCGTCATCAATGCTGCCTCCAACGGTCCAAAGCTCTCGTTCATCTGGGCTAACTCTGGCCAGGTCCAGGCATCACGGGCCACGAGACCATCTGCATTGAGGGCCAGTTCCGGGAGCTTGCGCCGAAGTAGGTGGAGGAACCTCTGAATCAACGCCCTCTTGACTGCTGCGGAGTGCAACACCTTCTGTCCAGCGTAGTGAAGGCCCATTGACCATACTGCTTTGCTCTTACGAACTGGTTCGGGGCCTCCGGCACTGGGGACCTCCTGCCAGTTTCCAATGGCCTGCTGGTTTGATGGCTGCAAGCCACACACCAGGCCCATGGTGGGCAGAAAACGGCGCAGTCTATTGTAGCCAGCTCCCCGGGCCTGGGCATGATCCACCTGCATGGTGATGAGCGCGCCACGAAGGAGTTCCAGAAAGCGACCCCGCGACATCTTCCTGTTCACCAGCCATGCCGTGCCCTCGGTGACCTCCCAGAGATCATCCGAGCTGAGTTGGAGGGCCGGCCACAGGAAATTCAACTGGGGGTTCAGGTCCCTCACAATACGGTGGATGCTGAGCCCTTGGAACTCCAGTTCTGGCATAGCCCACGAGTAGGGAGGTCGCGCTCCACGTCGTCGAGCTTTGCCTTGGGAGCACTCGAAGATCAGGCACTGGGGGTGGCTCTCAATGTAATGTGACCTTTGAAAATGTTCAAAGCGTACACGCGAAATAGCGGCCCAGACAAAAAATGTCAAAATCAACAAGTGGGTACCTGATGCTTTCTTCATCATCAATAACAGGTTCACCAGCTCCCAGGGCTGTAGTTCGGTCCTCTGTTGTACCCGATGATCAGGTGGGAGCAGCCTGAAGGGTTGGGTAAGCCAATGATCTGTATTGAAGTTGAGGCCAAAGGTAACCCTGAACCACTTCAAGGCCTGGAACATCGAGGATGCTGCTGTAGCGCCGCCCTGGGCCACGGCGCGAAAGAATTCGCCCAACTGGAGCGGTGTTGGCTGGGCAACGGCGAAAGCCTTCTCAGAGGCGTACCGCTGCCATCGCCGCAAAGCCGCCAGCAGGGCGCCAATCCTCGCCTCAGTGAGGCGTCCGGTTGACTGCATAATCTGATCCTTGAACTGCTGCAGTCGTACGGGATCACTCAACTCTTTCAGGTCACCCCCAGCTCGGCGATGTTGAGGAAATCGCTCAGCAACAGGTCAAAGAGGGCCTGAGTTTTGGTGGCCCTCTTGGCTTCAGCCTTGGTGTGGGGATCGGCTGCCACGGCTGCAAGTAGCATTGGTGGTCGCCCTGGGAACCCAGTCTCCAGCAGCTGACGAACGTGTCCCTTGGGACCTGTGCCTTGAGGTGCCACCACCATTGACGTGGTCTCCACGACCGAAACACGGTCCCCGATCACCGCTCTGGCAACGCGCCTGTGGTGATCTTGGGCCCGGCGAGCGGCAAGCGTCCATAAGGCGCTAACCTGGAATGCTTCTTCGGCGTCCAGGGGGCCTTGGATGTGCTCAAGCTCCGTCACCAACTCGCCGCCATGGGACCAAATGCCAACCACGTCCTGGCAGGTCTGGACGCCCTGGTGGCAAAATAGCTGCACCAACTCATCCGAGCGCTCGGCAACCAACTCCAGCAAATCGGCCTCCATGGCCTGGTCCGGTTGGCGCACAGTCACAACCGGAATGCGGCCGCGCCCAGGCGACACAGAAGGCGACCGCGGCCTCCTCAGCCTCAGTGGAGGAGGTCCAGGCGGGGGCATGGGCTGCCTAGGAATTGCCTGCCTCGGTGGAGGCACTGGAGGCTGCTTGGGAGGTACCGGACAGCTGCTCTTTGATGAGGTCTCTGGCCTGCTGGGCTGAGATTCCGAGGATCTGCGCGACCTCCTCAATGGAGACCTGGCTGGAGGTAGCTTCGAAATGGGGTGAATTGGCCCTGTCACCCCACCCGGTGATCTCGACCTGGTCCTCGGTGTCTTGGCCTCCGTCTTCGATGTACGCGGCATGGCCTTGCTCCCAAGAGATGTGATCAAACCTGCACTGATCACAGACCAAGTGCAGGTGATCACACTCAGCGCACACCGCCCCAAAGCTCTCAGGCCGGCGGAAATAGCAGCCCTCGCACCAGGAGGCTGTAAATACGCCACAGCAGCGGCAATGGTCAGCCTGCACGTCCGGCCGGCGCTCAATCGTGTCCCAAATCGACACGATGTAGGCTGACCTGGCACACAGATCAGCGCGTCGGTCCTCCACCGACAACTCGCAGGGATTGCTCCCCCGGTGCCCGCGCCGCCACCGCCGCGCCCCCGGTTGCCACACCGTGAGCGACGTGCGGCGAATCGCCGGCATGGCGAAAAACAAATCCCTGCCCTGATCTTGAGCCAAAATGGCATCAAGATCAGGAGTTACCCCTGTATGTTTCAAATCCCAAAATGTCCCTACCCAACCATCCATTCATTTTGGGAAGATAAAAAAAATACATCATATCACATCAAGCACTCCGGAAAAGTCTTCCGTTTTTTTTCCTGCAGATGCTCTGCTGGTTTCGCTGTGACGTCCACAAACAGCCTGACGATCGAGCGACTCACAGCAAGGTGTCACTCGAGCGCTCCCAACAACAATCCCTTTTCGGTCGAAGCCTTGCTCCTAGTAGCGATGCCAGGAGCTCCTAGTAGCGTCCGATCGCTCCTACTTCTTCGAGTAGAACACCGGGGCATTGCTGAAACTCCTGTTGCCCACTTCGCTAGCAAGAAGCTACGTTCGGGGCTCCTGGCCTTACTACTAGGAGCAGGGACGCTACTAGGGCTAGGGGCTCGTGGCATCGCTACGAACGGAGCAAGAAGCTAACTTCGGAAAGGGTTTTCGCTCCGACCTGAAGCGGCGGTTTCCCTGTCCCAGCGTGCCTCAACGTCTCTCTTGCAGCCGATCACCACGGGACACCTGGCTTCAGGTGCTTGGGAAAGTCAATGATGTGTTGTTTGAGGGGGATTCTTGGGAAGACTCCAAAAACAAGGTAGTGTACAGTATACTCTTGATGAAAAAAATCCACCATATGAAGGTTATATAATCCATATATCAGGGTTTATATGGGTTCATCAATGGTCTGCAACACGACTGTTCACAAGCAGCCCATCCGAATCACAACCGATGAGAACCTCCACTTTTGTCAATGATGTGATTGGGGCATTCGTAGTGGGTTGCAGGTTCTGAATTCACCCGTCTCAACAATCCATCACAAATAGATTGGTATAGGCGTGATCACATATATCAAGGGTTTCGCTTACGCTGTCAATGCCCATCTCTCTAGGTTGAAAGAGGCCAGTATTTCCTCTTGTCAGCAATGTCTCACACTGCCCGGTTGCGGTTGTGACAAGAAGAGGGGTTCGCTAGCTTTGAGATTCCGTTGTTTGCTTCTCGTCCAGCAAATGATTTGTTACCGATCCTTGAAGCACACCACAAATCCAAAAAGTCCAGTCCTTTCAAACTCTTTGACAATGACTTTTGTGCTTTGAGGAGCCGGAATCATGATGAATCATGTAAGTGTCAAAATCTTTGGAACCATGAAACAACACAACCCAAATTCTCAGGTCCACGCTTCTCATGGATCGTCTCAGGGACGATGTCCAGCAGCCTTTGAATCTTGCCTCAGACATGGGACCGTGGAGAGTCTCGCCTGTTCGGCCCGTCGCACGCCATTTGCTCCCAACCCCACACGCCCGACACCCAAAGAACACTAGGAAACCATCATAATCCATCCATCCTTTTTCCAAGAAGTTTCCATTCTAGCCTCCCAATGTTCTCAAGATCGAGGCACCTTTGAACATGCCACAGGAAGCTGCACCACCTGCTTGCTCCATGATGAAGGCCATCGGGAAGCCCTGCAAACATTTCCCATCGACTCCACCCTCTCTCCCTGCGAGACCATGGTCACCCGTGGCCAACGCGCCGAGACCGCCCCAAACCACGAGTGGCTGCTGCGGCCTGAAATGCCCTTAAAACCCATGATTGATTCGTGATACATGACTAGTAGCTTCTTGCTACTAGTAATGTCCCTGTTCCTAGTAGCAATGCCCGTGTTTCTAGTAGCTTCATGTAGCTATATGTATTATTGCATGTTCTAATGGTTGATCCACTTTTCCAGCCCTGTGCCACCCCGGGGCCACCCCCCATGTCGGATCGCCTCGTAGAGAACCCGAAGCTTGCCATGCTTAGACTTGGCATCTGCTGGGTACAAGTAGACTCCGCCATAGAGGATGGTCCGGTGTACGTCCTTGGGCAAGGAAACGGAAGCAATGCGACGCGCCGTCGGAACTTGGCAGAAAAACCCTCGTCTTGGGGACCTGGAACCGTAGAAGTCTGACGAATCAGTGCAAGTTGGGCTGGGGTTAGGAATTGCTTGAATCATATACTTGTCATGTCTTGCTGTTACTGCTGCTGTTGCTATCAATTGCTGCTCTTCTCTGATTCAGCCGCGGCACGGACACCATCGATCCCACGTATCGCGCAGCGTAGGGCTTGTCGCTGTCCTGTCGACTGAGCCACAACGTATTGGAAGTGCAGCAAGCGAGAAGGTGCTTTTACGGTGGAGAGCGAGAGAGAGAGGGACAAAGAGAGAGATGGAGAGGAACATGAATATCTCTTAGAGCATCCTTCCTGAACATTTCTTGGCTGGGTTCACCAGGGCTGTTCATCACCTCTTTTGGATTTCACCGAGGGATGCAAGGCCCTTGAGCAGCTGGAAGCAGGGGTGCGCACATGCATGAAGTGCTTCTCCCCAGCTGCGTGTAAAACCATGTGAACCGCGTTGTGGAACATTGCATCCTGCACACTCAGCATCAGCAGGATCAGGTCTTACTCACAAAGATCGGCTGTTAAGGATGTACCTATCATACATCTGGCGAACATTTGGAACGATACACCTCATGAGAGAAGAATCTAAGGAACCTCGACCGGTGCAAAAGCCTTATTTGACCCCTTTCAAAGCACATCGTGGATTTCGAAGGGCCCAAGCCTACGCTGTTTTGTCATGTTGCCTGCTGATCCTTAGTCTAAGCCAAGCATCTCTTCCTTTCTGCTTTTTTCTTCTCATCTCTAATATCGATGGCCTCCAAGCTAAGAGCGCCGGCCTCCAACCTAAGAGCAATGGCCTCCAATGTAATTGTTGTTTCCTTTCTAGGTCGCGAAGCAGCGCCCGGTTGGCAAGCACCGCAGCCCATGTCTGTCCTTCCACTTGCCGATGATGCCCTTGATCGCTGCGTCCCAATTCCGGCTATTGCCTCGACAAGAGCCACTGAGGATGCGAACATGCCTGCTGGTGACAGATGTGGGGCCCACCACATCTGGGGTGTCTATGTCAACCAAGAAATGGCGATCAATGCAATCGCAGTTGGAGGCCATCGCTTTGTAAGTTGGAGGCCATCACTGTAAGGTTGGAGGCCATCGCTCATAG